TGATTTTCCGACTTGATCTCAGAGAATTTTGTTATAAAGACCTGTTTAAAGCTGTGATGACTTCCAAGAATTGATGACTTTTCTAGCATGATCGGCATGATATGGTTTCATTGATCAACGCTTCTTCTAGTAAAATGTGATCAATCCTTCTAAAATAATGAATCGTCTCTTACGAATTATACAATGGATAGTTTTGGTGGTATTATCGCTTGGCGAGATGGCTTTCGCCTCATCCAGCAAGAAAGGTAAGCTTGATCGAAGCCTTTTCTGAGAAGGCGCGCCAAGAGAATGGTCGAAAAATGTTTATGACTGAAGATCTTTGATAGTAAAACAAAAACACTACATTCCTTCTGTTGATAAAAATATAGCGTTGTTTAATCTTAAGTGTGATGATTGTATTTTTCGATTTTTCGATTTAAAACAGCTGATGTTTTAAGTACCAGACCATTGGACTTTGTATAAAGTACGACTTTTTCAATCATCCTGAGTTTTACGTACTTTATTTCTCATCATCTCGCCTTTTCGTCCACTAGTTCTTTATACATGTTAATCATGCATTCCATCCATCCCTTTTCTATCCCTTTTTCCATCCATTCACCCATCCACTTTTTTTACTTATAAATACAATCATTAATCAACTATTATTTTTTATAGCTGTTTTGATAGGGACTGATTTGGAATTAAGATGTAACTATACCCACAATGCCACATGGTGGTTTGACAGCAGTAGTCTCCATGGAAACACACATCTTGTAAACAGTACATTAATACTTCGAATAAACAATGTCAGCACCAAAAGCCAAGGGACCTACTGGTGTGGATCGTCATGGAAACATGGGTATAATGTTTCTGTTGTTGTTGGAAGTAAGTAAAAATATAGTTTTGTCAATTTGTATTTTTAAACATAAATGCTAGTGGACAATGGCCTTTTAAATGATAGTGAACAAATAAAATATTGAATACTAAAAAGTTAACAAATTGAGTCACAAATATTAGATGGCTTGGAGTAGATTTTTTTTTTTTTAATTATTTTTTTAATTTTTCAAAATAATGTACATTTACAACTTTAGTATTCACATAAATTACTATACACTAGAGCGTGCACTAGAGCTAGGGCTTGGAGTAGATATATAAATTATTCTTACTGCTAATCTGAATTGACTGCTTTGACATCACATGCAAGGACCATGTACTCAAAATTATAATGTTCTTTCATAAAAAGATTTGCCCAGTCAACCAAGGTCAGTTCACAGCTACTCCTATGAATGGAATGATTCAGTGCGTTGGGTTGCATCCCTACAAACTGGTGGACTCCCTGTGTACTACACTGTGACAGCACAGTGTCCCAAATTATTTGCAAATTCTACAGCCGTAAATCTCAATTGTTATGACTATGGTCAAAATCTACAGCGATTGTGTAAAAATGTCCCTCACATAACAAACAAGAAGTATGTCTGTTCAAAATATAATATGGAAGAACTAGATTTGAATACAGTTTACCAAGTGTGTGTGTTTGCTATSAATGAGCTTGGAAACAGCAGTTCTTGCATTAACTTCACAAGATCTAATGAATCTTATGGGAAAATGAGTAAGTAATTTTGAGTTTAATTACTATCAGACTAGTGATGTTTGTACTTTAGTTTTGATTAATAATTTA